AAATTGTTACCAATACAATAACTCCTATAGCAAATGTCTAATGAAAGATATTGCTTAGACAAAGAAGATGAATCTTGTTACATATTCAAAACTACTGATAAAATACTTGAAGAACTAGAAAAACAAGAAAAACAAGAAAAAGAAACTAAATATATTCAACTTTCTAAAGAAGAAGAAAAAATTTATTCACAAAGCAAAGTTATAATTGATAAAAAAAATCAACCAAATCAACTATAATACAAGCATTATTATCAATTTATTAAGAAAAAGAGAACCAGAAGAATACATCAGAGAAATTGCAGAAACATATTGATAAAACTTAGAATACTTGCAAAAACTAACAGAAACTAAATATATTGTCAAATATAATAAAACTAACAAAATATAAAACTACAACAAGATGTTACCAAACAAAAAGAATTTGAATTAAATCTTTGGCTATAAAAATACACTTTCTCAAAAAACAGCTTAGAAACCAAATGAGCTTATTATATATTATTTAAATTATACGTAAGCTAACAAGAAGCTAAATTTCTAATGATATTAGCATCAGGCAGAAATAAGATTAATTGAATAATTGAGAAATACAATAACAAACACTTTGAAAAGAAAAATAGCATATTTACTAGCAAAATAAAATCTAAAAATTACTTTAAAACAGAAATATTTGATTACTTAAAATATAGACATATACTAAACCAACCAAAAATAATTAATAGAAGACTACTAATAGCAAACCTATACCAAGAAAATTACATTTAATTTTGTTTATATTTAGAAATTAAGCCACCAACATAGCAGCAAGAATAACTTGTGAATTTATAGATCTTACAAAACTTAACTTTAATGTTATAATAGAAAACTAGAAATACAATAGAGAAAACTGGCTAGAATGGAGCTTAGAATTTGAAAAACAAATATAATTAAGAGTATCATTAAAACTATTACAAATAGAATACTTTAATGAAAACTCACGTATAGGCTAGATAATAGTAAACTTGGCAGGAACTGCAATAAGATACAATACTACAAGACAATTTAATGTATTTTTTATGTGACAATTTATGGACAAACTTGTAATAAAATGTTTTAAACCAATATTATTTAGAAAATACAAAGCAAAGCAAAGTATATTCAATTGTTATTTTCTAAGTAATTTTAACAATAGACAAAAATACCAGCATATGACCAGAAATGTAGTTACAATACTATAGTGGAAACAATGTAGCTAAAGCAAAAGCAGTATGCTTAAACTCAATAAAATTTTCAAAAGATTCTAATAGAAAATATGTACAAGCAAATTGTGAAGCAGATAAGAAAACAGGACAAGAAAACTTAGGATTATATAATACAGCAGCAAACCTACCTGTATTAGCACAAATATTATTTGGATTATAAATAGACAACCAATATATTACAACTAACTTTACTAAAAAAGCACAAAGAGTATTTCAATAAATAAAATTTTTACTAACATATGTATTGAATGCATATGAAGATGAAGAATTATAAAAGAATTTAATTGACAAAGAGACATATTATTTTTTAAACAAAAATTCACAGAAGGACTTAAAGTCTTTATAAAAAAAATATTACCTAAAGGAAGACACCAAGAAGAAAACTATTAGAGCCAAATAATATTATATGAACTAAATATTAATTCAGAAAAAATATTTTAGAATACTCTATATAGAGCATACAAGTATTACAGAAATGCAGAAGTAGGAGAATACTTCAGAAACAAATACCCCACACCAAAAATATTAACTATTTTTATAAGAAAAATAATAAGAAAATTTACAACAATAAAAAACTAAAAAGAAATTACAAATCTAAAAACTATGTTATTGTAGATGTATTTAATCTATGATACTTTGAATATAGAAAACCAGAACACTTTTTAAAAGATTGCCCACAAAGAGAAAACTTTAAAAGATTTAAATATTTCTACACTAAAAGATTTACCAAAGAAAAAAAATAACCAAGAAACAAATTTTAAAAAGTATTTATATCTAAACTACTAGGAAGATCTAATAATCTAAATACAAAAAGATAGCAATCTAAATTCAAACATACTTCCAAACCAATTGTACAATTTCAGCAAGAACAAGTTTAGAAACCAACTATAATGTTTAAACAATTCAAACAACAATGAATAAAAAGATTTATAGCAAATAAAAGAAAACTATACCAAAATCCAAACAAACAAGGACCATTCAGACCAGAACAATAAGATTCTATATACAGAATTACCTTTAATAACTTTAAAAAACCAGAAACAAACCAACTCCTTAGAAGATTAAAGCCAAAATACAATTCTAACTTACCAATGTATACAATTTGTAAATCATTTACTTACCAAACTAAAGACTGTTAGAATAATATTTCACAAATAGAAACTAATAACTTCAACAAACAGAAAGAGCTTAATAATGCTAAAACTAAAAACAACAAAGAAATTCAAGAATAGGAAGATTTTAGAAAATACAAGAAAGCCATAGAAGCTTACTGAAAAAGTGTTGAAGAATATGAAGAAGTATCTTCAGTAAAAAAATTACTAACAATTCAAAAATTTACATTTTTGATAAGAGGTGTGCTCTATACTCACAACCAATCTTCATATTTACATACTGGTTGTATAGAAGAGTTTAATGAGTTTAAATTAAACAAATATAAAGAAATATATAACTATAATAAACTCATATATAAACTCTGCCACAAATAATAAAATATACTTTCTAAAAGAAACTATTATAAATCCAAAAAAGCTTAAAGGAGCTAAAGAATTTTACTTTATTGCACTTATAAATAATACTCTAATAGAATGTAAATTAGATGAAGGATTAATAAATACAATAATGGGATGTAACCATGCTCAAATATTAGACTTACATAACCTAATACCTAAACCAGCTACCACAAAAGTAGTAAGAAATAATATTAAAATGTTAGAAAAAATGATTGTCAATATTAAAATTAATGAATTCTTAACAAAACAAATTAAAATAGAAGGGTGTGATGACTTAGTGAAGTAGTAAAGTTGTTGCACCCCCAAGCTAGCTTGACTAAAGGTACTAGGTTTAAATCCTACTGGCAATATTTTAAACAAAATTCCTTGTATTATGGTAACAGATCTTCATTGATAAGTTGAGTTATATTAACTGTAAATCTGGTCACACCAATGTAGATTGTATACTAGAAGGTTCTGGAAGCATTCATATAACATCTAAGTTGTATAATTAAGTTTAATATTTTTTGATCTAGATAATTTCAAACATATTAATGATGACAATAATTTTGAAGCTGGAGATTATGCTTTAAAAGAATTGGCAAATTTAATTCAAAGTCATCTTTTGCCCTGAAGATATTTTTGTATGATATGGTGGAGATGAATTTATTTTTATTAAGAAAACTAGTTTCTGAATGTGCAGAGAAAATTAGAAAAGCTGTCGAGTCTCATTTATTCATTTATGATGAAAAATGTTTACCAGCTACACTCAGTATTGGAGTTGCTGAAATGAATTCATCTGTAGCACATTTTGAAGACTTGCTTGTGCAGGCTGATCTAGCTTCAATTATTGCTAAACGCCAAGGTCGAAATCAAGTAATATTTTGGGCTAAAAAGATGGATTCAAATAGTAAGTTCTGAAATTTTAAATTTTAAAATTCAATTTCTTATTAATAATGAAAATGCTAATAATAAAGCATATATATATATATATTACTTATTTTAATGATTATTATAAGTTTTTTTTAAAGTAAAAATTGCTGGCTAAAGAAAAAGAAAGAAATATAAGAAAATAAAGAAGTTTATAATTGTAATAAAGCTAAGCTTTATTAGAATACTAATTCTTATTTTTAAAAATAGTGTAAAATCTCTTTATAATAATTTCCTATATAGGCATATTTTTCTTTATAAATCTATTTTTTTAAAAACAACCTATTATAGTTAACCCCAGTGTTGAAATCTGTTTTGAGATTTATGATCTCATGAGAACAAATTTATTTTAATTTAGTGTTCTCAGAAATTTATTTATGTTCGTGACAATAAAATTTATTTATATCCTATTTTTTTCTAAATTTCTTATTCCGGAAAATATCAGTCATTTGTTCAAAATTTTATCCCAACCCTTCTCGTCTTTAATTTCTTTCGGAACATTGTTCGATTCTAATTTTTTTATTTCCATCTGGCATTATGCTATTACATTTATTTAATATAATATAGAGAAAATATTTGTCGAGTATGAAAATATTTGTCGAGTATTATGTTCTCAAATTTTTTTTCATATAGAACATTTACAGAATATTAAATGTTCTCAAATCTAAAGGTATATTCTCATGAGAACATGAGAACATAAGATTTCCGACACTGGTCAACCCCCTCTATAATTACATACTGTACTAGTGTTTTGAAGTTCAAGTTTGATTCAATTAGGTTCGGGTTCAAGTTCAACTGAACCTGAACTGAACTTTAAAATTTATAGGTCTTTGAACTCGAATCTGAACAAACTTAGAACTTGAATTTAAATATTGGTTAAAGCTTAAGTTCGGTTCAGAGTTCATGAGCATGTTCAGGCTCAATTAACGGCTAAACCTATTTAAAAAAAATACTATAAATCTGGATTACTTACTATGAAGTGATATGAATACGTATCACTAATGATAATGCCCAAAACTTCATAGTTTAAGTTAACTGAAACTGAACACGAGTTAACTCGAGTTAAAATTATGTTTTAAAGCTACGAATTGACTCGAGTCAAAACATTAAGTGTTATAATTATAAAGGACAGATTTTTCAGCCCAACAATTCCATTATAACGAGGGTAAAGTTAATACTTGAAAGTAAAATATAAATTTAATAGGTGTATATCAAAAGCCTTATTGATTATATACCCTATATTTTTATTATATATGCAAAATATTGTCCATTCAAAAAAATTGTTTAGAAATAGACTTCATATTATTATTATTATTTTTATTTTTTTTTGATTTAAAACTGTTGCATAAATTTTCTCTAAAGTATAGAAAGTAAGAAAATATTCGAAAAAAAGAGAATCAAAATTCTAATATGCAGAAACATAACTGCCTATAAATTAATTTAGATATGGCATTATTATTTTATAATACCTAGGTGCTGTATATCTCAACACTTTTATTATGGTTGTCTATTATAAAAGATTAATTTAGACACAAATGTTAAACATCCGTATTTGCTAGTCCTTGCTTTAAGAAATTGCTCAAAAGGTTACAGATTTCTTTGACAGATGGGCGTTTTGATGGTTCATTTTCCCAACATCTAATAATAATTTCTCTAAGTTTCTGATCCATTGTTTCAGGAAGATGAGGACGTAACCCCTCTAAGATTCTAGAGGCAAGAGCAATTCCATAATTTTCACCACCAAAAGGTTTTTCACCAGAAATAATACGAAACATAATGGTTCCAAAAACTATACACATCAGCTTCTTTTGAATATTTTCCTCTTCCTCGTGACAAAATTTCAGGGGCGACATAAGGAACAATTCCGACAGTATAAGTTGTGGAAGAAGTCGCTGAACAACTACAACCTAAATCACAGATATATGGCGTTTGACCATCAAAAACTATGTTCTTACTATGAAAATCACCATGCCACATTTTTTCATTATGAATATCTTCAAGACCTTCAGCAATATGCAATAAAATTTTTAGTTTCTCCGTGGACTTTAATCCAGTATTTTTATCAAGAAAATTTTCCAAATTGCCCGAAGATGCATACTTCATAACTATGATATAATTTCCTTTATCAGGAAGTCGTGAGGTTCCATAATATCTGATAATATATGGCCGTCCATTTAATCTAGCATAGTTTTTTATCTTAAAGAATAATATATATATTATTAACTGAATTATTTGATAATTCGGTAGGTGCTGATAAAAGGACAAAATTTAACAGAAAAACAATTAATGTAAAAAATAAATTTTTCGATGATTATCAATTTTAATTAGAAAATCATCGAGAAAATTAATTTTTTATATTAATTATTGTCGGGGATGATGCTGAAATCGGATGATGCTGAAATTTTGAGCTATTTTATTATGAAATTTTAAAAAATTTTCGGGTCTTTTTGTTAGGGTTTTTTTTTAGGGTTAGGTTAGGGTTTAGGGTTAGTGTTGTTAGTAAAAATGTATATGTGAATTTTAGTAGGTA